TTCACAGGATCCTCAACCTCGTCAACCCTTTCTACATTTTCAACCATTTTAACCTTCGAGTGATCTGCAAGCTCGTTTAACTATTTTTCCTCGTCAACCTCTTCCACATTTCTCATCTCAACATTCTTGCTCTTTGCACCATTTTGCAATTGCTCCACTTTTTCGACCTGTTCGGCCACCGCATCTTCCTCGAATGGCTCTTCAATTCCTTTCATCGTCCTTATTTGTTATTCCGGCCACTAACGAGCTACAACAACCATTCTCTTGGCATCACAGTCTCACACACTTGACACACTTGACACACTTGACACACTTGACACACTTGACACACACCCTCCCTTACACGCATAAACACACAGACACAAGCATACACAAACGGAATGTCACGTTGCAACTGCTGACAAGCCCCGTTTGCGCGTAAGTCGAAATGGTGAAGGTGATGACTGTCTTGCCGGACATTTCTAATTGCCCCACCCTCCGCAGTCAATTGGTTGCCACGACACAGCTTGCTCCTTTCCTCCTTCGCGTCGAGCCCTGTTGGAAGGGTCTAACTGTTCGTCTGTGTGTGTGTGTGTATATGCTTTCTGAGAGGACAATAGTAATGGAGAGTCTGCCTGGTTGATAGTAGCGCAGACACAGCAACGGCCAGTGGGAATAGCGACTCCCCCCGTCCACCGAACCCCGTTTCCGCGACGCGCTAATCCAACTCCCTTTTGCCCGCTCAAGCCGACCATCTGCCGGAGCCCCACTCCCTTCGCCTCCTTGTCCTGCCAGCGTCAGTCCAGCTTGTCCACGTCAACGCTGTGTCAGTGAGTGTGTGTGTGTGTGTGGAAGGGCATCTTTGGAAGGGAAAAGAGAGAACATTTATGCTTTGGTACAGTTGCCTCTTAACCAAACGACGCGGGTTTCCCACTCGGACGAGGGGGCTTTTGGTGGTCGTCTAATCCGCGCCTCTAGTCCCACCCTCTCCCACCCCCCTCGCCCCGTAGCCGCCTAACGAGGTGGGGAGGTGTGTCATAGGGAGAGAGAGAGAGAGGAAGGAAGATGTGTGACTGGGCCTAATGACAAAGAGAGAGCATGTGAGTGAAGTTGATCCGTGGCCAGCACAAGCAACTCGGACACACTTCGCCATCGTGCGCCTACAGAAAGTGGGCAGCAGAGAGAGCATGCGTGGCGTGGATGCAAGGACACATTTTGGCATAGAAAGGGAGAGGGAGAGGGAGAGGGAGA